AGTGCCACATTCTGTTAAACCCTGCCCAAGTGCCACATTCTGTTAAATTCTGCCAGGGATGGGGACTCCACCACAGCCTGGACAGCTCTGTCAGGGCTGCACTGCCCTTTGGGGAAGGAATTTTCCCGAATATCCAGCCTACACCTCCCTGGCACCACTTGAGGCCATTTCCTTTGTCCCTTGCTGGCACACCATCAAACCCTGATGTGCTGCTCTGAGGTTTCCTCAGCTGAGCCTGGTTTTACCAACGTGCCTTCCTCACCTGAGGAGTGCAGATGAAATTCCTCTGAGGAATCGGTGCGGGGCACCAAGGGGAGATTAAAGGTTTGTATTCCTATTTCCTCACGATGCTGCATGGTCACCATGGCACAGAGCCGGGACAAAGGCAAGGCCCCTCTGGCAACCAGCTGGTCTCTGACATTTGGGTAATAATACCTGGAAAAACACAAAACAACAGCAGCAACATTTCCCTCACAACTGCACAGAAGTCAGCTTGGAATGTCTTTAAATCCTAATTAATCTCTCCAGCTAAGGGAGACACTCATGTAAATGCATTTCCACAGAAGAAAAGAACAGTAAGCACTTAAGAAGATAATGCTACAAACACATATTTACATATTCACAAATACATATTTACACTACTGCTAACAAGCCAACAAGCAGGAGCTCCACTAACAACTGGCATCCCAAAGAAAAACAAGACAAGGATSWGGCASCAAATATTCTCTGYACTCACTTCCTATTAATGAATGAAAATGCCTCTCTTGCAGAACAGATTTTTGATACTAGCTTGTGAGTGTACAAAACAAGTCTAAACCTTTTGTTAGTGCATTACTTAGCTTCAGCTTCATCCTAAAATGAATTTTGGCATTGTATCTTACGAACAGCCCATAGAAATTCTCATGTGACTTTGCAAATTTAAAAAGCCTGTTTACTACAGAATGAACAGATTATTGTATTTTTCTAAAACTATTTGTCTTCATGTCTTCTGCTGTCCAGTACTAATGATTACCTTCTGTAGTCAAAGAAACAATCCAAACTTACAAAACATTTTATATTATTTTTCTTGTAATCAGTGACTTGTATTAGGGAAAAAGGCAAACCCAGGAAAATGAAATTATACTTTCAGGGTGGTCTTAAATAAATATTAGATGTGTCAAGCATTTAAGCACTACTTTTAGAATGTTATGCTGATTAAAAGATGGAAGAAAGCAAACCAAGAACACACACTTTCTTAGTTATAAAAAGAAAGGATTAATTAGGACTCTTGTCGAGGAAAAAGGCTCGCAGGTCTTAAGTGCAGATACTCATCAGCAAATGCTGATGAGCTTATCTTTTTTTAAGCTATTAATAAATAATATTATGGAATATCCATCCCAGAGGTGCAGATTTTTCAAGATCAGCTCTATCTCCCTCCACCTGTATTGCTGTGCCATCTACAGTGAACAGGATGTGTTGTGTACCTGCACCAGACTTCAAACTGCATTCCTCTTCCTGCTGCTCCTGGTGCTGTAAATGCACTGCCCAGGAGCCTCTGGACTGGGACATGTGCRGGAACCAGCAGGGAATGATGGTGCTCATCATGGAAGRYRGGATCAGGGACACACAGAGTGGTTGCTGTTCGAAATGGCTTTAAGGTGATGCCTAAGGAGTCAAACAGAGTTAATTAAAAATGGCTGCAATTGTGGTGTTCAACCTTTTCCTGTTTGCAATCCTCCAGGAGGCAGGAGCCAGGCAGAGGGAGTGAAATCCTCCTGGCAGAAGGTTTGCACTTCTGAGCTGCACTTTACAAAGCTTTYACAAACAATCCAAGCAGCCCCAYGACCCTGTGAGCCACGGGATGGGAACTACTGTAAAAAGGCAGCACAAAACTCCTGCAGGATTTACCTGGAACAATGCCACCAAATGTCATTTTGCAGTAATAATATGTGTTAGTGATTCAAAGCACTCAACACTATGCTCTCTCCTACAATTATTTAAATACTCTTTATAATCTGAAAAATGGTGGGTTTAGATTGGCAGAAAGAACATGACGAAACAATATTTAATTAAAATTAATTTAATTTATTGCTCAAATAAGGCAAATTGACAAAACAAACTCACCATCCTCAGGCAGTCCAGGTGCTTCCAGTGCAGCAGCAGCAGCCTCCTGAACTGGGAAATAGTACTGGATGTAGCAGTCAGCCTCTCCCCAGACCGTGGACTGCAGGGGAGTGAGACCCTTCACACTCTCCACGTGGATCTCAAACACGTGCTCCATCAGCTCTGCCCCTTGTGGGTCTGACTGCTGACAAAACAAAGGGAAGCCCATGGGAAGGATGACTTTRGGAAACTGGGAACATTTCAACTAGCTGCCCAGGGAAGTGGTTGTCATCCCTGGAGGTATTTATTTAAAAGCCACGTGGCTGTAACATCTGGGACATGGTTTAATGGTGGCCTTGGCAGGGCTGGGTTAATGGCTGGATTCGATGAGCACAGGTCTTTTCCAGCCTAAACAATTACATGTGATAAGGATCTAAGAAGCCTGAGATGGGGACAGAACAATTATCTGCCTTTTTCCTCCAAAAGCTCACAGAAACATCAAAAGTCTGAAAGAATTTTTTTTCCTGCCAAGAGTATAAAAAGCATAAAGTTCCTACCTATCCAACTCAAAGGTAGTGGCAAAACTTCCACAATAAGGCTGTGAGAGTTAAGATTTTCTATAATTTTGCCYGTTTGTTTTCTTTTACTGGACTTGTAAAGACAGAAGAAGTGGATATGCAAGGTAATAAAAAGGTCAATAATGCCAAGAGCAGTGAGAGCAAGCTGGTAAAAAAAGAGTATAAAGAATATAATTCTGTGCAGAATCTGGAGAATATAACAACATTGGCTACAGCATGGAGAAGGATTGGGGATCACTGTCTGTTAATGAACCCACATGAAAGGTAAAACCCTTTTGACACACCCTTAGCAGTGAGAATGGGGATTTACTGAACAGTACCATGGTGGGGTTGGTGGGAGCCTGGTCCAGAGAGTGGGGAGGACGTGGTGTGACAGGAGGAGCCATCCCTTCCTCAGTTTTCAGCCTCTGCAGAGCCACGATCTGGTCAGCAGATCCCATGGCCAGGATGACCCTCAGGCTGCCACTGGTGCTGCCAGTGAAAACATCGACCACGGGCACGTGGCCATCCACTGCCACCACCGGGTACTGAGCCTGCAGCAGCAGCTGGCAGATCCTGGCATCCCTGAAAAACAAACCACAGCATGCAGAGAGGCTGCAGAAATGACAATGGGCATCTCAGGAGGGACAGGGTCACACACAACTCAGTGCAGATGGCATCCCTGAAAAACAAACCACAGCATGCAGAGAGGCTGCAGAAATGACAGTGAGCATCTCAGGAGGAACAGGAACACACACAACTCATTGCAGATGGCATTTGCAATCCAAACCGCAGCACACTGACAGGCTGCAGAAATGAGAATGGGCATCTCAGGAGGGACAGGAACACACACATGGCATTTGCAATCCAAACCACAGCACACTGACAGGCTGCAGCATGAGAATGGGCATCTCAGGAGGGACAGGAACACACACAACTCATTGCAGATGGGATTTGCAATCCAATAAAAACTAAACCATCTCCCTCCCTCCCTCTGAAATTTGTCTCAATTACATYCAGTCYTCACACAKCAGAGAYCCACSAGCTGCTGAGTGCAAGAGGTTATTTTCATCAGTGACAAAGGACAACTTTCCAAAACCTAACATGGCCTTAGCTAAGACCCAGCCTAGAGATCTGTGATTGAGGGAAGAATGGGAGCTCCCATTAACACCCTGCAGCCATACTGCACTTTGATGAGGCTGTTATGTGCCTTTGGGGACGGAAGAAAAGCAGAAACAATGACAACATGGATTAATCTCCAATAATACACTGAAGTTATTCARAGCCAGGCTGGATGGGGCTTGGGACAATATGGTTTAGTGGAAGGGGTCCCTGTCCATGGCAGGGGGTGGGACTGGATGGATCCTTCCCAAGCCAAACCATTCCATGATTTTAAGATGTACACAAGTAAATGACAGTGGATTACTAAACAAATGATACAAATGACACAGTAATAACTAACAAAGTAGAGGCCAGTCAGCTCCAGCACCATCTGACTTCCACCTGTCACTAGGTCTGACCAAACCAAAAGGAATTTGCATTAGGAAGAACCTCTTCTGTCCAATATTTCCACTAATTTAAACTGTTTTACGCAGGTATATTACTGAACAAGAAGCCAACAGATTAAACTCAAAAAACCCCAAAGAACTCAGGAGAATCCCTATGGATAAGAACACTATTAAAATATTATGGCTTTGGAGCCTTTTTGACACCTTTGTGCAAACTGACAGCATTCCTATGGGATCTCTGCACAGCATAATTAGGGACAAACCAAATCAGTCACAATCTTGCAAAATCACTGATGAAAAGCTGCACTTCATTTTCCTGTGTAGTCACTTTGATTTCTCCCAGTTTTATTCTGTCATAGGAGCACAAGTTAAGCAGGCACCAACCCTTCTGCAGCACAGTGACTTCATTTCTCATGCTCTATCTGTACTTCTGACAAGGACAGTGGAACTTACACTCCATCATTGTAGGAAAGGCCTACAGGAAGCTTGGCAGGGCAAAAATGCCTTTTACTGTGACCCACACAACCCCCACACACCATCCCCGATTTCTTTCTCTATTCAGTTAGGGTATTTCCCAACCCAATAAAATAGGGTATAAAAAAAGTTTACTTGAACGAGATGTAAAACTGATGCAGAGGRAGTTTCACTAATCCCAGCAATTTGTCACAGCCAGGGCTTCCCAGCTTGTTCCACGCTTCAATAATCATGACATTGTTCTTCAGTCGCTCCAAGTGCTTTGAAGTCAATGAAAAAGGCATCACCTGAAAGTGTTTAAAGCAGAATTAGTATGCAGAGTACAGTGGAAAACATTGGCTAAGCACAGAGCATTCTGGTAAGTCTACTTTATTCCAGTTTACAGAATTGTGCTTTTCAGAGATAGAAGTTCAAAATTCAATGTGCCAGAGCCAAGCAGAGATATTTCTACATATATAAAAATAACTATGAAATGTGTTTGTCAGTGGGGAATACCATGCTTCAATCACTGAGAAATGGAAAACGAGTGACTTGCCTGAGAAAAATTAAAGGCAGGCTGTGTTGTGCCCCAGATGACAGTGGATCTCGTCGCCTCCTCAGTGTTGAACAGTTTGCAGTTTAAATACACATTGCAAGARCTGGGGAACCCAGAGCCTTCAGCAACAAAATCCTTTCCATCAGGCACCATCAGGAGCACGTGCAGCAATAATCCATCTTCCTCAGCTGGGGCTCTGTGTGCCAGCACACTGCGGGGGGCTGAGGGTGGCACAGAGCACAGGGACCCCATGACATCCCCAGTGCTCACTGCTGGGTCCTGAGAGTCCTTCAGGAGCCTTTCTGCATCCCCACTGTTCACTGCTGGGTCCTGAGAGTCCTTGGGGCTCCTCCTGGAGCACAGGATCCTTTCTGCAYHCSCACAGCTCCTGCTGGGCCCCTGCAGTCTCAGCTGGGGATCTGTCCTGCTGTGAGCTGGGGCTGGAGCTGAGCTGGCAGCRGTGTGGGTGAAACCTYTGCTGTTGGTCACAAGCTCCAGGGACACCTGCARGACAAGGCAGAGAGGGCTGGAGAGATGGGACCATCCAAAACCAGGGGCTGGAACAGAAACTCGGCCAACAGAGCACCTTTTGCTCCAGAACTCACCCTAAGGACATGCTACAGCTGTTGCTGTAAAATAAACAGCATGTGCCTTCAKGAAATAAAATCCAGAGTGCAAAACCACACATTTACAGATGGATCATGCAATGGGCTGGGKTGGAAAGGACCTTAAAGCTCACCCCATTCTTAACTCTTCACCTGCTCAGAACTGTCAAATCTCTCAAAGTGGTAATATTTCTCAATTAGAAGCCAGGCAAAATGGTAGAAACTTTGGCTGGAGAAAAAAATTCCTGGAGTGACAAGGACAAGGAACATGAGGTCTCCATGGCAGGAGAGATCTCAGCTCATGTCACACGTGAGGCAGAAGCCCAAACTCCAAGCCCTGGATATGTGCCACTCAAAATTTGCCTGTASAGYRGTTTCTGTATTCAAGTCTCAGCTTATTGACAACATCTCTAGACATGCAGGGAATATTTCTTCAAAATATTTCTCCAAACCCCTAAGGAGTAAAAAATGTTCACATCATTTAATACTGCKCTTGCAAACCTTTGTATCTGAGACCTGGCAAATCAAAGGGAGAAAAGAGGTGTTAAAAAATAAGAAGGTGCAGCCAAAGTTAGTAACAAGTCAAGCTGGAGATGGTAAAATACATACCTTTAATGGTCCAACKGGTGTGTGATCTCCCTCTTTTCCCACAGCTATTTCCCAGCTGACACGGAGCAGCTCAGCCTGGAGCACCCTGCGGAGCTCAACTGCTGCTGAGCCAACAGCCACGGCCTGAGGGCAGGCAAACAATCCATCTTTACAACATTTCTATCAGCTTTAAAGAATTTCTGTGAAATAAAAGCTTTCTGGGCAGCCATGAGGAGCAACACACCCTCCCCACTCCTACAACATTAGTTGCACCAACAGAGATTTGGGAAATCTCCTTTACTGTCCATTTAAAGTCTCACTGGAACAACAATAAGACACTGTAAACAATTCCACGTTAATTAAAAAATTGAATAACCTAAATCCCAATAAAGAGCAAAGTGAAAGACACAATTCTTTCCCCCATTAAAAGAAAAATACCATTCTGTGGTGTTGATTAAAATACATTAAGCTGAGTAACCCCCCTCACCATCTTCATCACAGGCAGATGGTTRTGCAAATAWTCTTATCAAATAGAAATGTACTTTTTTCCCCMMAAAATGTACAAGTTACAGCAGTTTTTCACAGCTCACATGACTCCCCTTACACTGGGCAGAGTAAAGATAAAAACTGCATCCACATGTACTCATTCCACATTGCTAAAGGAGTCGTACTCTCAGTGAAGGACAATGTTTATAATTGATCCAATCTGCTCAAATAGCAAGAGATCAGTGTTAAGGATGACAGAAGGACATGGGGGTTTTTGGCTGCCAGTCTCACACTCAGATTCCTTTCTGGAGTGACAAGGCTGGAGCAGGGAATGGTGACAGCCCCAAGGCTGCCAGGGCTCAGGAGCATTTGGAAAATGCTCTCAGGGGTGCTCAGGGGGGGACTGGGGGGATGTCTGTGCAGGGCCAGGACAGGGACTCCTGGGGGTCCCTCACAATGTTCTGGGAMGACTGAACAGCAAACACTTCAACTGTCTACATCTACTGGAATGTTCCTTCCTGTCTGTGGGAAATGGAAATGCAAGGATTTTCTTTGCTTTGAAATACACAGGAACACCTTCTAGCAAATACCTTTTTCTGGGTGCTTTTCCTCCTGTAGATTTTAAAAGCCAGGTCAGAGCCCCACCAGTGCTCTATCATTGTTCCTCCAAAGCACACAGGGAACACAGATCGCTGCTGGAAYTGCACCACTGGAAGGAAGAGAGGAGCAACAAATATCCAAAATTAGCTGATACAAATAAACCTTCCCCTGGAGAGCGCTCTGCTACACACACAAACATCTAATTCTGCATTATTTATTAACACCAAGGCCAAAGTGAACTGGTTTTCATTTTCCTAGGCCAGAAAATAGGAGGCCAGCAGGACAAAATTAAGATTATAAATTCATAAATAATAATTAATAAAAACAATTAATACATTATTAAATAAATTCATATAATTTAACGTTATAACAGCATTTGAAGACTTCAGGTGACCCAAGTCTCTGCCATTGCAGAATGCAGTAAGACCTGCCCTTCTGCAGTGGGAGAACCCTGGCTCATATTAACTAAAATAAATCAACATAGTTCTWGAGAGTCAAAGCTGAGCTGCAAGAAAAATCACAGCTTYAGGAGAGAAGGAATATCTGYRAGAAGAGAAGSAATRAATTCTGGAATGGAGTCTGGAACASAGTACMAGAGGTACAATAACAGCATTCACAATGGACAAGGAAGCATTTTTGTGAYAATAAAAATGCAGGTTACACATAAGGAAAKGTCCAGCTGGATKCCCAGCACTYCTCCACCTTGTCTGGGATGGCTGTGSAATTTTTCCCATTAGGCATCTTTAAAAAATGAGATAAAAGCTCTCAGGAGGGACAATACTAAGGCAAAGGGCAGGAGGATGGGTTACTTTGGATGAAACTTTTGTATTACAGAAATCTCAGAAGAAACAGATGTTTTGTCTGGTCACAAATGGGGAACTTAGAATCAATTCAAAATCTCCCAAATGCCACTCAGAAAGATGCAAAGGCAGTGAATGCCATGTGGGAGAGGCACTTGGAAGTCACCCTGGCATTCCAGTTTCTGGAAAGACTGGGCAGAGAGGGTCTTGCTCATGGAGCATTCTCTGCTCAGTGGAACAGAAACAGAAATTGTCCTCAGAGACACAAACACTGGTGACTCTCAGTACAGAGATGAATATCTGCTGACTTGAGCACAGGACTCAAGATCCCTTGGATCCAGCAGATTATCTGAGCTGTTGGAGATACTACACGATGTACTTCAATATCTGGAAAATTATTTATTTGAGGTGTAAGTATCTCTAATATTTCTAAAATACTTGATCATCCTCCTACTATTGCAGAAASAATATTGGCTTCATGTTCAAATGAAGGAATGGACTTAACAACTTGTTCTTTCCCTAGCAAAAGAAATTTGAAAATCCCAGTATGAATACTTCTTGAAATAAAAAAAAAATAATTAAAAAATCACTTGTCTTCCTTCTCCCTCAGAGGACCATTCACCCACCTGTGTGCAGAGGTGTCACTAACCAGACTGTGATTTTCAGGCAGCAAAACACGTGGAAAATGCTATAAAATACTTTCTAAGAGATGGAGTCAACAAAACTAAATCTAAGGGGGAGAAACTGATGCTCTTACCATCATCTGTGATTTTACTTGAAGCTGCTCGAATTACTTCTGTTGTTATGGAGAGCTGTCCTTTATCATCCTTGGAGACCCCCACAGGAAAGTGGCACTCCACAAAGAAGGTACTGTTGGTAAAAAAGTGCAAGGGTGATCCCAATCCATCAAGAATCTGGTGTGAGTCATGAAACTGAACACAACAGGCAAGTTCCAGATTCACAGTTTACTGTAAYGCTTTTTTAAAGGATAACTGCAATAGCTATTCTATGAATTCCTCCATAGATTATATATGATTATATATGTGCCAGATTCTCCTCCATAAACCCCTCCTGTTTTCAGTGTCCTGCCAGGCACMAAGAACATCTGCACCTCCCCAAAATCCCAGCAAGGGAAGGCACACCTGAAGTGAGCCCACATCAGGATAAATGACTCCCATCTCCAACTTTCCCAGGTTTATGGGACACAATTTCCTGCGAGGAGCAGAGCAATGGGAATGTCTCAGACACCTGGAGAGCCTGGACAGGCAGGACTAGACCAGAGAGCTCAGGGATATCTGCCCTGAAGGCACAGCAAACAAATGAGGAACAAACAATCCCCTCTCACCAGTTGTGAACAGCCATGGAACAAACAATCCCCTCTCACCATTTGTGCACAGCCAAGGAACAAACAATCCCCTCTCACCATTTGTGAACAGCCATGAACAAACAATCCCCTCTCACCATTTGTG